GCACGGCCCCGCCTGGCAGCCTGTGCCCGGCAGCGCCGAGCGCCGAGCCCCGAGCCCGCGGGGCGGCTGGAGCCCACCCCGGGCAGCGACTGCCGAAGTTCGCCCGGGCGGGCGCCAAGTCCCCCGCGGGCGCGGGCTCCCCCGAGCCGGGCAGGAGGAGGAGGAGGAGAACCGCGTCCCACGGGGCGCCGCCATCCTACCAGCGCCCACGTCGCTGCTGCCAGTGCCAAGCAGAGCGGGTCCCGGGAAAAGTTACAGCCGCTGTGCAGCGCCGAGCACCGCGCTCGCCCCGACCGGGACCACCTGTAGCAGCCCCGGGACGCGGCTCCGCGCCCCCTCCGTCCCCTGCGGGCAGGCGGGCGGGAGAGCTCCCGACTGCTCCGGGGGACGTTCCCAAACCGGGGAGCGGCGTTTTGGGGCGCGGGGAGATTCACCCAAGTTCTGCCCGCGGCACTAGCGGTGCCCGCGGCCGCGGTGTGCAGCGCTGGGCTCCGCGGGGGCGGCCCGGCTCCGCGCACCCTCGGCTTCCGCACAGCCGCAGCCCGCTGGCACCCGCGGGGCGTGGATATTTTATCGTATATTTATTATATATATAATATATATTATATACGTATTAATTCTTAAGGGCGGCCAGCAGCCCGGGCGCGGAATGCACGGTCATTCCCCTTCGCTTCTGCCATGCATGAAATGGCAACTTGCTCCCGGGCTCGGCCGCGCAGGGCCCGGGGCAGGGCAGCGCTCCCGGCGGGGCCGGGGCGCGGGGATGCCCGCGGAGCCCAGGTGGGCAGCCCGCTCCCTCCCCGGTGCCCTCCGCCGCCGCTCGCCCCGACCCCCGGCTCGGCGTGCCCCGGGGACCGGCAGCGCAGGAAGCCGTTCTCACCTACCTCGGAGAAGGTAAAGGACAGGTACCCAAAACCTATCAGCAAAACGCAAGCCCAGGTCCTCATCGCGGTCTAGTGCACTTTAGACACGGAGGGAAGGCAACGCTGATGGAGAGGGGCTGCAGGCCGGCTCCTGCCGCGCAGGAATTCAGTACCATCCCTCAGGGGAAAGGCAGCGGGGTGGCTCGGGGGTCCTCCGCATCCAGGGTGGGTCGGGGCTGCCCGGGGCGGCGGTGGCTTAATGACGGCGCGGCCGCTGTTTGTACGTTCCCCTCGCTACGGGAGCGTGGCTGCTCTCCCTTCTGCCGCTCTCGCTCGCTCCTCTTGGCTCTTAGGACTAGACCAGCCGGTACTTCTGCATATTTGCTTAGATCAGACCAAAGTGAAACCCAAGGAGTCGATCCGGAGCGCAGCCGAAACGCCCATCACCTGTCTGGGGCGGCTGCCCCCCTCGCGCGGGCGGCGCTGGGGCCGCCTCCCCCCGCCGCGGCCGCCGCTCCGCGCCGCGCCGGGACCGCGGGGCTGCGCTCTCCGCCGAGGGCCGGCCCCCCCCGCCGTGCCTGCCCTCCACCCGGCCCTCCGCCGAGAGGGGAAAAATCAAAAATCTTTATTGATAAGGAGAGAAATGTTTCTCTTGCCGAGAATGGTCCCGCTTCCCTCCCCGGCTGGGGCGAGGTCAAAAATAATAATTAATTAGGAATAATAGCAGGGACAAATCGGAGCGGTATTGCAGGATCTCGCGGGCTGCCTTGGTGCAGTTCCTGCTCCACTTTGCACGGGAGAAAAAGACAGAAGGAGGAGGAGGAAGGAGGGGAAAAAATATATATATATGCAAGAAGGTTTAAATCCCAAGGGGATCGGAGACGAACTGCAACTCCAGGCAGAGGGAGGCTCGGGGCTCGCTCCGGAGCGGTGGCCGGTCTGGAGCGTGGCCCCGGCGAGGAGCAGCATATACCGCTCCCGCCCTGCCGTGCGCCGCCCCCGCCCCTCCTCCCGGGTACTCCCGGCACCAGACCCACCAACAACAAGTCGTGGGGGTGCCGGCAGCTGCGGCGCCTGCTCCGGGGCCAGGGGCTCTGCCCACTGAGAGGGGAAAACAAGGAGCCGGCGGCGGGCAGGGGTCGGGGGGAGCGGGGCAGCCCCCGCCGCCGGCCCTCTGCGGCACCGGGCGCAGGGGCGGGCGCTGCTGCGCAGCAGCCGCCGTGGAACCTGGCGGGCTCGGCCGTGTGCTCTGCCTTTACATAAGGCAGAGCGGATCGCCATGGCCACGGCGCGATCGTGTGTGCGTGTGTGTGTGCTTTCTTATCGCTGTTATTCTGTTTTAGCGGGGGGGGCCTTGGCTTTTGCAGAAGGGGAGGGGCAGAGCGGCGGAGGGTTGTGGTGTGCGGGTTTTAACGTTGCTGTTGCAGCGCAGCCTTTATTGCGAAGGACAGCACGCACGCACTGCCTTAAGGAATACAAAAGCACCCCCAAACTGCACGAGAGGCAGCGGGGGCGGTGCGGGCGGGGGGCAGCGGAGCCCTCCGCCCTGCGGCACCCGGCTGCGGCATGCGCGGGCGCGGGGCTCCCCGCCGCGGCCGCGGGCACGCCGCGCCCCGGGGCTCCGCCGCAGCCGGACCCAGCCTTCGCAACTGCTCCGGCTCCCCGCAACTGCTCCGCTCCCCTGCAATTGCCCCAGACCCCCGCCCTGGACCCCCGCAACTGCCCCGGCCCCGCATCCCGCACCGACCCTCCGCAAGCGCAGCCGGCCCCGCAGCCCGTCCCGAGCCCCGCAGCCGGCCCCGAGCCGGCCCCGCCGCTCCTCGGGGCAGCTCGCGTTCCCTTCGCATCCTCCCTCCTCGCCGCCCCGGAGAGAAATTGCCCCCGTTCTCCCGGCGCGGATTGGCACTAGGTGCCTGCTGCACCCTGACATCTCCCTGAACTCATTGTGATTTAAATAACAGCCCTTTCTCATCTAAACAAAGGTTCTTAATAGCAGATGCAAAGAATTCAGCTCATCTGAAAATCCAATAGCATTTAAGTGGATTAACTGCAATAACACAACTGAGGAGTGATACTATCCTTCATGGAAGACAATAGACTGTAAATGCACAGCCAGGGAGACTTATCCTTTCATCTCTGAATTTCCTTCAGCATTTCAAAAGCGAATGCTTTCTAGAAGCCCTGAAGGGGTTTGCACGCTACTGGCTTGGACATGCTTCTAGGAAACAACCTGTGCTTTAATGGGCACTTTGCAATTGCATAGAAGTTCCCACCAAAACAGAAGTGGCCTTTCAAGTACGTTTAATTCTCTCTCATGATGTCATGTAGGCTTACAGGGTGGTCTGCAGGACCACAAGGGGGGAAAAAAAAGGTGGGGGTTGGAAAGAGAGAGAAAAGGAAAAGAGATGTAAAAGATTTGGAAGCACTTTAGAAAGGAGAATGCTGCTGCTTTTTTTTTTTTTTTTTTTTTTTTTTTTAAGACAGAAAATGCTGAGCCAGTGTGGAGCCATTCTCAAATGCCTCCTGATATAAAAAAAATGACCCGAGTGCCACACTGCAGCAGAGCTATCCATGCAGGGCAGGAGGAGGCAGAGCAGGGCAGGACACTCTGGTAGTGCCATCACTTTCTTACATGGCAGAAGTAAAAAGCAATTACTTCAGTTTAAAAAAAAGTCTCATCTGCACAGTCTCATTTGCTGGGGTTAAAGAAGCAATTCTTACGGTCCGTGTTGTCATAGTAATAAAAAAAATAATTACTAAACAGTGAAATAGATTCTGACAGTACCGGCTGGCTGAGCATTTACTCCTCTCCTTCCTTCCTTGGTTGGCTAGTGCATTTGGGATCAGAAATGCTGTATATTTGTAGCTCTTGCTAGTGGTATTCCACTGCAAAAGCCAACAGAGATAACTCCTGCTTTATCTTGTGGTAAAAAAAAATATCTATTCAGTTTTGATTTTTCTTATATTTCCCTCATTTTACGAGGCATACTGCATCAGCATCTTTTTTTAATCTGTCATTGTGGAGCTCAGATAAGCATCTTTCCTCTGGGTCAAGTTACACTTGGAGTAGCTTTTAACATTAGACTGTTTATAGGGATCATTACAAATATTTGATAACGCAAAATATGTAAGGTCCCAGAGGAGAGCAAAGACCAGGAAACATAAATAAAATTCACACAGATTCTGCAAACAACTTTATACTTAGGTTGTCTGTCTGCTTACAAAACTCATTTTGTCCTTGTCTATTGTTTGATCTAAAATTGCATTTGTTGCCTCTAAGTCCCTACATACAGCTGTGTGAAAAACAAAACTCTAGTGCATGTTTGCTTCAGCATGGCACCTTCCTGCACATCTATTGCACATGTGTGCACCAGACATGAAATATCACCTTTCATGTAATATCCACAAGCCACAAGTGAGGAAGAAGTGACAGCATGGTAGTTACAGGTTTAAAAGGAAATCAGTACCAAGAACAGAGTGTCAGAAAATTAGGTTTTACACTTTTTTATTTATCTGAGAGCAGTGAGCAAGATATTGCTTGTCTAATTTAAAGCACGCACTGTTAGAAGTCTCTCAAATGTCAGGAATTATAATAGAATTACACCATGACAGAGTGTTGAGAGGGAGGATTCCCAGGGTTTGCACAGCACTTGCCGTGGGGGAAGGGATGCAAGAGCTCTTTGACATGAAATGAGACCACTTCAGTGTCACCAGTGCTGCTTTCTGCGGGTGGAGTCACCTGAAGCTGGAGTGCCCCAAATCAGGTTTACAGCACCCACTACTGAGCTCGTTTAAATCTCTGCTGGCTCAGCTCTTAGAAACACAGGCCAGGCAATGTAACAGGACCAAGTGATGCTCCACAGATGCGTGCTGGGGCTGGGGGAAGGTCACTGGGGGAGGAGCAGCCAGGGATGGCCAGCAAGGTGGGCACTGTGGTGCTGGGAGGGGCACTGGGTTGGCTCCGAGGTGGTGCCTGGAGCCCAGGGCATCTATTTCAGAGCTCAGGCTGGAACGATGCCTGTTTGACCCTCCTGACAAGTCTTGAGTTTGCAAGAGGAATCATTTCATTGCAATAACATTCCTGCTGAAGTCTTGGGAAACCTGAGTTTTTTCAGATTTGATTTTAGTGGGGTTTTTGCCTCATATATAATCCAGTTAAAATTAACAAAACAATGGGTTTGGGTAAGGGATTTTGTTGGAAGAGTGGCCTGCTTTTATTGCAGTGTGTGTTTGGGGCTGGCCAAAGCTGCTCAGTGTGTTCTGCAGGATATATCCTGCCACCACATCTGTCCTGGCTCTGGAAAGGAACCATAGGAAATACTCTCAGCAATTTGGACCTGCACCATTCTGTCAGTGCCCCACAGTGTATAACAAAGGATAAAAGTGCAGAACATAACATCCAGAAAGCTCGACAGGAAGATCACCAACTTTGGGTGGTTCCTCTCTGGTTTTGAACAATTTTTTGGCCTGTAGCTTCAGAGGAGCATGTGGCCACGGTGGGGGCAGTCATTTTCCTGCTCTGCAGTTCAGTTGCTGCCTGCCTGTGGAAAGGCGTGAGGCTGGCACAGGTGCAGGTGCAGTGCAGGCAAGGATTACAAATGCAGTAGGCACTGATGGCAGACACACCATTCCCTTTCCTGAATCTCAGCCTATAAAGAACAGCAAGGAAAGCTGCAAAGAGAACCAGCAAGGCTGTTATTATTCCAGCTAATGCACCTATAATCATGATTTCCTTCCTTTCCAGTTCTTTCTTTCGGATCCTTGCACTGGCTTCGTCCTTCTGGTTGAGCTCAGTTGTCTTTGTAACTTTTGTTGGTTCAGCTTTCCAGATGCTTTCACAGTTGATAATTTTCTTAAATAGTCATGAGATGCAAATCTGCTACAAGGTTTCAGCTAAGAGGAGTGATCCGAAGTGGTGTGGAAAGATTTTATGGTGTCTCTGCCCCAAACACAGAGGGTGGCCGTGGCCAGCATCCACTTATGTGGGTTGACACTTAAAGCTACATTATTTCTGGAGATGTTTTGCTCTGCTATGAACGGGGCAGGGTCCCTGTTGAGCTGATCCTCCACCCAAAATTGCCCTTTTGACTTCAGTGGGGGTTGGACCCAATTGTCTCTGGAGTGATTACTTGGTTTAGTAGCCAAGAGACGCAGTTAGTAATGCTCTTGCTAATGTGCTACTCTCTCCCCCAGTGCCCAGCTGCTGCTTGCCCAGGAGCTTCAGCAGCTCGGCTGAAAGTGAGGGACTGTTTGACCTTCCCTGCTGCCACAGCCACTGCTGAGTGACACACAGTTCACCTTCAGGGCTGGAGCACGAACTGGCAGCCCTGCCAGCCTGGGTAGCAAGATACCATGTTTAGGCATTAAACTAGGGCACTTGCATACCAGCACTGGCCGCTATTTTAGTGGGTATATGAAGCTGATCCCTGCTCCCCACCCCTGTGGGACAAGGGAGCTGCTGTGAGTGAGGGATATCCTCTGCCTGGTGGATAAAGCTATTAAAAATGGGCTGTGTTTTGTCAGGAATATGTAGTTCATCCAGCTGAATGACTGTAAAAGTACCAGCCCAGCTTAAGGTATGCTGTTACATGCTGTAAATGAAAGCACTGCACACAGGGCTCAGCCCCTGGGGTCCTGTGCGTGGTGTGCTCATGTCTCCTCAGCAATGAGGGTGTAAAGCTCTTCTCCTCTGACTCAAATCAACACCAGTTGCAGTGATTCTGTGGAGACCATCCAGGATGTAACTCAGCCACGCTAAGTACCATAAAATTGTGATATTATTCTCCATTGTTTGTAGCTTGGAGGCCTGTAGAGGCCTAGCTTGGAGCAGTCAGTTTTATTAAGCTCCATCCAAACACAGTGAGATAGTTGTTCTTCCTGAAGAATTTGTATTCTCAAAGTGTGAGCCGCCCCGTTTGTGTTCTTGTATCCATGCAACCTTGTTGCTCTTACATT